CCCCCTACCCCCCGCCCCCCACTTAAACATTCAAGGGAAGCTGCAAGGTAATTCCTAGTCTTATGTGGGTTTTTCCATGCCTGTACATTAGCTTGTATGTCCTGTTTTCAAAAACAGTTTTAGGCAAGTAGTAATCCCAGTTGCAAAGTGCATAAATCACTTTTGAAAAGAAAACTTTGGCTCCTAAGCTTAAGTATTTTTGAGAATTTTACCCCAAACCAACACCCAGTGAAATCAGCTGAAAGGCTGTCATTGATGTCAATGGGTTTTGGCCCTCACTGTTAGTGAATAACACCTCCAGTAGACTTCATTAAACCCTGCACTGGTTTTACTACCCACTGTAAAACTATTTAAAATTATGCTACTAGTATGAATTAAACTGCCTTGACATTTTGGATAATAGTTACTCATGAAAAATATTGAGCTCAACATTTTGCACTAGACACACACAGTAATTTTAAATATTGCCATAAGAGTAGTTATTGCATGTTTTACAGTATATTCTTTTAGCTGAGGTGCTGTATTTGTTTTAAAAAAATCCATAGGGCCATTCTCATCTATGGAGATACAATCAGCAAAATATGAATTCATACTTTATTCCCAGATGCATGAAATTAGATGTAACTAGTTCCTTATGCAGTAAGAAATTCCATCCCTATATAATTATTTTACAAATTTGCGTTGTCATGTGAGTAAAGTAATTTACAACTATTTGAACAATTATATAGACAATCTGTAACAGCTCTAAAGATGCTCTTTTTAGCTGTTGCTGGAATTTACACAGTGGTAATGGTTTGATTGTGTACCAACATTTCTTTGGCAGGTTTTTCCTCTTTCTGTTGTTTTGGAACTATTTTAAAAAGTTGGACATATAATCACAAACGTTACTTGACTATAATGTTACCTTAGCAGAATTACTATTAGAAAGGAGAGGATAGAACTCAGGATAAAGCCCTAAGGATGATACAGCATGGCTTTTTTTAATTAAAACTATAACATTTTACACCTGTATACCTAAATGACCACTTAAGTTTACATCCATTAATTAAATCCATCTGCATGCCCACTTGCACAGACAGGTTAGGCATAAACCTTTCAAAACTGGGCCTTCTTAGCTTAATGTTGATCTCATGCTGGTTTTCCACTAACACAAATAGGATCAGTTTTACCCTAGTGCAGAGAGAAATAGTTATGTTAGTCTCAAGTCAGGCAGAAGGCAGGGTAGAGATGCATCTCATAAACTAACTAAATCAGAGATACATAAGCTTTGAGCCTGAACTCAATCATATGCTGTAAAAGGACATGCACAGAACAATTTATCCAGTAGAACGTAATTTGAAGCCCTCCCCCAAAAAAACCAGGGAAGGGAGGGAGAGGAAAAGGGAGAGTGCAAGCAGTGCTGGAAGAGGCAAGCAAATAATAAGCAATAGGGACAAAAGAGAGTTGACATCAGTCAGGGCTTTTTTTTTCAGTAAAAAGCAAAAATCTTTAATTTCGAGTTAGCCCTTTTTTAGAAAAATGATGGTGATAAGTTCAAATTACAAAACACAATGTCAGGTGTACTCTTTGTAAAATGTGTTTTGTAAATTGGGAATAATATAAAATAGCCTGTTGTTAAGTTGAAGGCCACAGACATTTTGACAATGCTTCACAAAATAAAAGAGAAAAGAACTTGCTTGTATTTTCTGTCCATATTGCTCACACACTCTTTGTCTCTTTGGATGTTGCAGGTTATCAACTGACATCTGCTGAGTGTTTTGATCTGAGAAGCAATCGGGTAGTAGCTGATCAATACTGTCACTACTACCCTGAAAATATCAAGCCAAAGCCAAAACTTCAGGAATGTAACTTGGACCCTTGTCCAGCCAGGTCAGTCAGGTCTATAATCAGAAAAGACCAGGCTCTAACTGTAAAACTACGTAACTTACTCTTATTTTACCTACAATATATCTTCCTTTTACTGTAGCTATTGTGTACCAGATAGCATAAGGTCTACATGTTTATCCACGGTATAGCATAGAGGGTGGTTCAGAGAGAGATGGTTGTTTCTTCCCTCCAGATTACTTCCTGCTTGAAAAGTTATTGTGAAGTGTGAGAAAACAAATTGCCCAGGATAATATCCCATGATCAGCATGTATGTGTCACTCTATGAGTGAGATCAGGGCTGATGGAGAAAGAATTTAACTGGCAGTGAGTAGCCATAACCACTAGGCTTATTCTTTTTCAAGGTATTTAACCTTGATTAAAAAGCTTGCCTGCAACCCCATCGGTTTTTGAAAAATTAATGCAGAATGTAGCCTAATCCTCAACATGCTGTGAACTTACACTAAAAACAAAAGACCCTTCCCCACAATTTCTTGCCAAGAGCTTCTCTTTCTAAAACTAATAGTGCAACGAGTAGAGGCACAAAATTGGATCTTCTTCTAGCTTATTAGAGAATGAGCTTCTTGGAGCCATTTAAAATGCAGGTGGCAATTACAACAGGCCCCATATTGCCTTGAAGGACTGGGCTGTGGCTGTTCACAAACTACATGCATGCTCTGTGCTTCTAAACCTTTTGCTTCTGATTCTTGTGGTTCTGCCATGAAACTGCTTAATGAAGCCCAGGTACTGTGACTGTGGGTGTTCTGTGCCAGATTGGTCTTCAGACTCCAGGAATAGTAGCAGTCTGAAGGCTATCAATTTGTTCCTCTGATTCTTGGGGATCCCCAGGCTGTAATGACACCCCAGCCACTTTACATGCATCAGTTACAAGGAGGAGGAAGAAGATAGTTTAGGGGTCCTTTAAGCAGCTCTATCATACATAGAGATCCCTTTGTTCTGGGGCGATTCTGCCCTAACCAGTTAAGGCAGCTTTAGACCAGGTTTGCGCCATCAGAAGATCATAAAGCCAACCTAGTCCAAATTGATTTTGCCCCTTGATCTCTTAAAAATTGTCATACATTTATTCTAGCTCTTCCTAACTAAAGCTTTTACCCTCTCAAAGATGTGTAGTGCTACTTACTTTACGTGGGCCCTGAGGTACATACTGTTTTACACCAAAAATGCATCTTTTAATAACCTTTCAAAAATTTAGAACAAAAATTAAGAGATAGGGCTAATAGACCAGCAAAAAGGAGGCAGTCTAAAGTTAAAGATGATATTTGTGCAATCCCATGTATTCAATCTGACATCCTGAACATGCATTGTCTTTTCAGAGGGGTGGAAGGATGCAATGGTGTGGATGAGAAACTTGATATTCCTGGTTCTTGGGTTTTTCCATCACACAATCCAGCCTTCTTTTGGTATTTATGTGAGTTATGTGTATATTTGAGGGTGGAATTTGGCTCATAACTTCTCTCCCACAAAAAGGGCTTCTATTTATTTAGACATACATTAAAGGGGAATGAGCTGGGAAGCTGAAGGAAGTTACAGTGCCATCATTTCTCATTATTTCCTTTGTGGTTCTTACACAACAAGGAATAGTCTGCAGTGACCAAAACAGCAGTATAGGAATATTTTAAACATCTTTTATTGCATGTTATTAAAAGCCAAAATTAGATCAATGCAGTCTTAAGTTTGCACAGTTAAAATCACCAAAAGTCATGACTCCAAGAGCAATATTATCTCAGTCATATTGCACATAAATTCTGTGACATACTATAGTGATATAAAGCAATAACATATGCAACACATGTAAATAGGAGACAGGTAAAAGAAATAGCATGCCAGAAAGTCAATTGCTGTAAATCAGCAGAACCCTGGCAACATGGGCGACAGTGACCACTGCCTGCTAGAATTCGCCATTCAG